CAAGGAAGGACTGGTTCTTGGAGAGGGACATCATGTTTGGCAGAGTGGAGGGGCGGCGGAGGAGAGGAAGACTTTCGGTGAGATGGATCGATTCTGTGACTGGAGTGGTGGGAATGAGTGCATTTGAGATGGCTAGGTTGGCACAGGATAGAATGGCATTAGAGCTCTTGTACATAGGGTTGCTATGAGTCCCAAGCGACTCAATGGCACATAACAACAACAACCCTTGATGAGATGCATTGACACACTCTGTCTTTGCAAAGAAGACTTCAAGCAGCAGAGACTGGGTGGGTGGCACAGGATTGGCAGTGCTTGGTCTTGTTTATAGAGTTCAGTTGTCTGTAAGAGTCAGGTGCACTTGATGATACAACAGCAGCAACATAAGTTTGTCTTTGTTTTTTGGCATCTGTTATCCTAATAAACAGTAAAGGTGTATTAGTGAAAATGCCTGAAAGTGGTTAGTTGAGAGCTTGATCTTCAGTAGATGAATTATCTGTGGTTATGATTTTACATTACTTTTTACATTAACACTCTGTTAGAAACCTTGTTCTGCATTCATGGGGCATGGTTAGGGCCAGGAATTTACAGTGTTTGTGAGAGAGAACACTGAAACAATTAAGACCTTGAGTCAGGCTGCCCAGGTTCAGGTGTCATGGTTGTTTATTTGCTGTGTGCCCCTAAGTTAGTTACTTTGCTTCTCTGTGCTTCAGAGCCAATATTTATTAAGTTAAAAAAAACACCTGTTAACTAACTTCATAGGATGATTGTAAGGGTGCATAAGATGCTATGAATAAAGCTTCTGGGACAGTGCCTTCTAGGCAGTGAGCATGTATTGGACACTCATTGTTGTGACTTCCGGCATGTGTAAGATTCACTTGTGACCTCTTCATATTTTGGCTTGGTGCATGTTTTATCCCTTGGGCATCTATGAGTTCAGCACATATTTATTGGATCCTTTCTGTGCGCATGCTCCCTCAAGGCCTGTGGCTTCAAATCCTGTCTCCGAGTGATGTTCTTCAGAGCCTCCATGTGCCCGTCCAGCAGTCTTCACGATGCAGCACAATTGCCCCAGTGTTTCCTTCTCTCAGAGTTTGTTGTTCTGGTCAGATTCCTGCATCCTCCTAGTTCTTAAGGTGAACACCCTGGAGTGACTCTGAATTCCTTTATTTCTGCATACTGTCCATGATTTCCAATCTGCCATGTTATTTCAACACTCCTCCAAAACCCCCTTTTTTGCCCTTGTATACTTTAAGTCTAACCACCCTTGCCCATGATGCTCTCTCGTGAAGCTCTCCACTTGACGGTCTTCTCATCTTTCATGTACCAGCTCAAATGCTGGTTCCTCAGGAATGTGTCTCTTTCCATCTCTTCCTAATAGCCACCCTCGCAGCTTTCCTTCCCTCTTGTAATTCAGAATTGTTCAGTATACTTCGCGTTCTTTCCCTTGTTCAGTGTCCACTGCCATTCCCATATAAGCCTCGTGGGCACAAAAAACTTGCCTGTTTTGTTTGCTGTTGTAACTCAGGTACCTAAAACAGAACCTGGAAAGTGCATACAGAATATGTCTTTGTATAAATGAGTATCTACTGTGTACCAGATGCCCTAGGAGGAGCCAGGGTTACCAGGATAAAGCATATGCAGTTCCTGTGCCAGAGAAATCCACAGTTCAGCATGGGGATGGACTGTAAAGAGAATTACAGTAGAAGGTGAGGCCTGGAAGGTGAGGAGGGGGTACACAATGAATATGCTGCATTCTGAGGAGAGCTGGGATCACCCATCTTTTCCCAGGTTCACGCGGAGATGGTCACACTGGGCCAGCTAACTGGCCATCACCCCTGACCCTCACCATCCCCAGGCCCAAGTGAGCTGAAGGTGGGGAGAGACAGTATACCCAGGGATTTGTCACTGCCTTGTGAGTACAGATGCCAGAGGAGTGGCCAAGTGTGGGGGGTCTGTTGTCATAAAAAATAGTGATAGCTGCCAAAACAACTATGAGATATCATCTCACCCCAGTAAGAATAGCAAAATTTAACAAAACAGCAAACAATAAATGCTGGCAAGGTTGTAGAGAAACTGGAACCCTTACTCACTGCTAGTGGGAGTGTAAAATGGTGCAACTACTCTGGAAGGCAGTATGGCAGTTTCTCAAAAAGTTGTAAATAGAAATACCATTTGACCCAGCAATTCCACTACTGGGAATTTACCCTAAAGAAACCATAACTGCCACCTGAGCAGATATATGCACTCCCATGCTTATTACACAATGGCAAAAAGCCGGAAACAACCCAAGTGCCCATCAACGAATGGATAGAGAAAGCTGTGATATATTAACACAGTGAAATACTATGCAGCATTGAAAATCAAGGAACTCATGAAATACTATGCAAAATGGATGACCCTGGAGGACATTATGCTGAGTGAAATATCTCCGTCACAAGAGGACAAATATTGCATAGGGCCATTGTTGTAAATCAGGACTGACATCAGGGTTGAGGGAAGACAGAAAAGGAGTGGAGGAATGATATATATTGCATTGAAACAGATGAGGGAGAGATCTGTTTAAAAGGGACATATGAATGAGTATTCTTGTCATTACAGAAGTCCAGAGTGAAGGCTGCATAGTGGAGTGGAGTTGGGGGGAGGGATTGCATAACAATGAAAGTTTTTCTCTTTCTTTTCAAGGAGAGGAGTGATTTGGGGGGAGGGGGTGGGCAGGGAGAAAAGTGCAATGAATGACTGGAAATCCTAAGTCTCTAAACTTTCATTAAAATTAATAAATAAAAAAATTATAGCTACACCAGAGAATGCTTCATCTGGCAAAGACTGGATAAGACTGTGAGAAAGGACAGCAGGCATTTCCTTCCCAGATTTGAGGATTGTACCTGTGCCCAGCTAAGCAAGGGCGGAAGAATTGGAGGCAGATGGCAGGGTGGAGAGAAAGGCCCCCTGGAGAGAATCTGCCCCTCCCCTCTCCTGCCCATCATGGATGCATCTTTCTCTTGATCACGTGAACACTTTGGAAAGTGTACCGTTCAGGAGGCTGCCTGCCAAACGAGGGACTTAAATAGGAAGAAGTGCTGCTACGTATTGAGGTGGCGAAGATGTCTGTTGTTGGCACTAAGATTGCATTTGTCTTACCATTATTTTCAGGCAGAAGATACACAAATAGCCTTTAAGTTTATGAAAAGATACTCAACATCATTAAATCCATTGCTGTTGAGTCAGTTCTGTCTCATGATGACCCTCCATTGGCGTTTCAATGTTGTAAATGCTTACAGAAGGTTGTCCATCTTTCTTCTGCAGAAGGCATGGTGGATTTGAACTGCTTTTTGCCTAGTAGCCCAACACTTAATATATTCTGCCACTAGGACTCCTTAGTTATTAGGGGGGTGCATAGCAAAACCATAGTGAGATGCTGTTTCACTTGGGTTAGAATGACATAGAGGCAAAACAAGTGTTGGCAAGCATGTGGAGACATTTGAACCCCGTCCATTGCTACAGACAGTAAAAAACGGTATAGCTATTTGTGGAAATCAGTTTGACAGTTCTTAAAAAAGTTAAACACAGAAGTAACCGTATGACCCAGCAATTCTACTCTTACTATTAATTTTAATGAAAATATACAAAGATTTTGGATTTCCATTCATTCATTATTGCACTTTTCTCCCTGCCCACCCCTCCCCTCCAGTTCGAGCTTCTCTTTGAAAAGTAAAAGAAAAATTCTTTCATTGTTATACAATCCCTCCCCTCCCAAGTCCACTCCACTATGCAGCCTTCGTTCTGGACTCATGTCATGACAATAATACCTAATCATATATCTCTTTTAAATAGTTCTCTCCCTCATCTGTTTCAATGCAGTATACATAATTTATCCCATCTTTCTCAGTCTCCCCCCACAACTCCTATATCTGTCCCGTTTTACAACAGTGGCACTATGCAATATTTGTCCTTTTGTGACTGAGATACTTCACTCAGCATAATGTCCTCCAGGGTCATCCATTTTGAATAATATTTCATGAGTTCCTTGTTTTTCAGCGCAGCGTAGTATTCCATTGTGTGAATATACCACAGCTTCTCTATCCATTATTTGTTGATGGGCCAGCAATTCTACTTTTAGATGTATACCCAAAGCACTTGAAAGGATGGATGCAAACACACTTGGCATTCATTGCAACACTATTTAGACTAGCCCCCTAGTGGATACCGCACATATGTCTACCAGTAGGTGAGGGGATAAACAAATCGTGGTCTGCACATGCAGTGGCATCTCAGTCATAAGGACAACTGAAGCTCTGATGTGTGCTGTAATGTGAAGGAACCTAGAACATATGTTGAATGAAAAGTCAGGCACAAAAAGAAATATTGGATGATCTTATGTGAAACACCTAGACTAGGCAAATGTCTAGAAACCAAAAAAAGGGGAAATGAATGCTTAAAAGATAATGAATTCCTATTAAGGATGATAAGAGCTTTGGAAAATGGGAATGGTTACACAACTTGGTGAACATAAAGTCACAGAGTCGGTTTTCTGTGAGTTGTATCTGTGAAAATGATTGACAGCAAATGTTCTGTTATATGTATTTTACTATTTAAAAAAAATAGAAGAAGATACTCTTGCACCCTCTACAGATGGCCTGACAAAAAGTTCAGAGCTAATTTCCATTTGCTTATTTGGTTAATGTGAACCTCCTTGAACGAATCACCGTGACTCAGTCAGAGAAAAAGTACTCTGATTGACTAGCTTGAGGTATATGTAACACTTAGTGGAAGAGAGGAAGGTTGAAGGATCATCTTCACCCAGATCACATAGCTTGGAATTCTCCTCAGATGTGCATTTTCCAAGAGGAGGGGGACAAACAAGGTAGATGACATGAACAGAGGTCCTTTGGCCTGGGGAGAGACAGTCGTACTTACAGTGGTGTCACAGATGCACTGGGATTTCAGTGAAGGGTGCTGGAGATATAATAGGTGGTGACTGCTTTGTATTGCTCTCTCAACAGAAAAGCTGCCAGACAGCCGGGATCGCCACAGCTGAGGTATCCACCCAGGCCCGGAAGCAGGCTGATGTGGAGGTGCAGACCGAGGCCCCGGCGCCCATCAGCCTGCTGTCTGCATCCCAGCACGACAGCCCCCGGCTTGCAGCCTTTCTGCAGAGGGTGGAGGGCATGGTCATCCAAGAGCTGAACAAGAATCGACAGAGCCACGCGTTTGATGGGTTCGAGGTGAACTGGACTCAACAGCAGCAGACGGTGAGGAACAAAGTAGTGCACCCAGAGGCTAAGCCCTTTTTTAATTCCTTTTGCTCCATCCAAATAGTAACATGCAGTAGTCATAACAATTGGTATTCTTCAAGACTGTAAATTTTGCCAGGGTCAAAAAGGCATCATGCTGGAAAAGATATAAGAGAGGAAGACCTTCAATAAGAAGAGTGTATAGTCACTGTAACAATGGTCTTGAGGATGGTGGGGATGGTGAGTATGGCCCAGGGAGGGCCAGGTTCTGAATTGCTGTTCATAGTGTCACTATGAGTTGTGGCCTTGATGGCATCTCACACCACCACTAGCAACCTTATCTAAGGAGGCCTGGTGGCATAGTAGGAAATGAATCGGGGTAATGGAAGGTTTGGCAGTTTGAATCCAGGAGCTGCTGTGGGAAAGAATGATGGACAGTCTCCTCCAATTTCCCTTGGAAACCAATGGAAGGTTGCTATGACTTGGAACACATAGTACCACACGTAGTTTCACTTCTTAAAATGGCCATATGAAGTAGTACATTAAGATCTGTACTTGAGATGAGGTACCAGGGTAGAGACACCTGTCTAAGTTATCTTATCAACTAGATAGATTGGCATATGAATGCTGGTCCGATTTCATTGTGTGCTCAGTTGACTTCAGTGTCTCTAAGGCACAATCAGATGACATGTAGGGAATTAATATGGCCCTTCTACAATAAGCTTTGTAATTCTACCAGATGACTGAATGGCACTGTGCAGATGAGGTGCTTAGGCCTCACCAAGAGAGGACTGGTTAGAAGGGTAACCATTTCCCAAAGTGAGCTAAAGACATGTCATCCTTGTTTCTAAAGAGCATTCTGGTATTTCTTTTAAGAATGATTTGTTTGTTGTTCTGGCAGTCCATGAGATGTATGGTCACTCTTTATTACCAAAATTGCATTTTAAATGTGTAAAAAGAATGAGGGCAATATCTGACTGCTACTAACTCCACAAAGGGGATCTGTTCCTGTCGAGAGCATCCGTAACACAAAATCAGTTCTCGTGAGTTCAGACATGCTCCCCACACTCCTGCTCCTACTTGTAGCCAAGCCTATTGCTTTATTGGGTATGAAATCTGTTACAGTAGCTACACAGAACTCACAGAACCATACTTAAAATTTTGAAGTTTATTAGGGAAGTTAACTAGTGGCATCTCAGATTGGCAACAGGATACAGTTTCTTAATCTAGAAAGTTTCTTAAGCATGCTCACAGGCTCATCAGCCTGGAATTTAGGCCATAGTCACAAAGCTCTTAGTCCTGCCATTTAAGACATCTCTTCCTCAGTCCTCCAGCATATTTGGGTGAAGTGCTCTGGCTCCGTGGGGCAATAGTCCCAGGTCAGCCTCCCTCACATCAGGTCTCTTTTTTCTTCACCACAGCTGTTAGGACTGTCCTGTAGCCCCCAGTCTGAGTGGTGCGAGAATCATCCCAGGGACAAGCACTGCATTATCCCAGGGACAAGCACTGCATTCTCCGCTTCTTATTTTTTGTTGGTCCTGAGATTCCTCCAGATTTCTGCCACTGAACCTGTTCAGTTTAAACCTGGTTGAATGCCGAAACTAGCCATTCCCCTTATGAATGCAATAATACAACTCTGTTTATATGTTCCTGCCCAGCCATGTGACAAAGCACATGACCTAGGAAAGCCATTTTAAACAGTAGGCCCACAATAACAGAATTGTTTGAGGCTGAAGAAAATGAAAACAAATCCTTGAGAACCAAAATACAACCTTGAGTCTATCCCACCTGAATTTAAAAATCATTTTCAGAATTAATTTGAGGCATTGAAAACCACTGCTTGAAGACCAGTTGGGTTGTGGGATGACTTCTAGTATATCCATAAAAAGAACAAAGTTCATTACAAAGACAGAGGAGAATGAAAAAACTAAAATGGATGTCAGAAGAGACTCTGGAAATTGCACTAGAGTGTTAAGAAGCTAGAACAATAAGAAGAAAGAGATGTTGAAGTCAAAGAGCTGAACATATTTCAAAGGGAAACTCAAGAAGACAAAGCAAAGTATTATCATGGAATATGCAGAGAGCTGGAATTACAGAATAAGAGAACAAATTGAGTTACGATACTGAGAGATGCTATGGGCAAAGTATTGAATGATTCAAGAAGCATTAAAAGAAGATGGAGGGAGAAAAAAAAGAAGATGAAGAGACTATACAGCGTCACTGTACCAAAACTAACTGGCTGACACTGAAATATTTCAGGAACAATAGTATGATCAAGATCCAGTGGTAATGGAGGAGGAAGTTTAAGCTGGACTGAAAGCACTGTGAAAAAAAGACAACCCCGGGAACTGATGGAACGCCAGCTAATGTGGTTCAGGTAACAGATGTCGCAGTGTGCCAGGAAATCTTAAGGACAGTCGCCTGGCCAACTGAGTGGAGGAGATCCATATTTTCCCCATTCCCAAGCTAGGTGATACAGTAGAATGTGGAAATAATTGAACAGTATCATTAATATCACATACAAGCCAGCAAAATATTGCTGAAGATCATTCCAAAATGGGATACATATAAAACTGTCAGAAGTTAGAGCTGGGTTTAGAAGAGGCTTTGGCACCAGATATATCAATTGTTGATGTTAGATGGATCTTGGTTAAAAGCAGAAGATACTTGAAGAATGTCTATTTGTGCATTATTGACTATGCAGAGGCATTTATTTTACTCTGTGGATGCCAACAAGCTATGGCTAACATTGGGAAGAATGGGAATCTCAGAACACTTAATTGTGCTCATGTGAAACCTATAAATAGACCAAGAGGCTGTTGTGTGAATAGAGCAAGAGAGTAACACTACATTGTTTAAAATTAAGGAAGATGTCAGGGTTGTATCCTTTTGTCCATACTTGCTCGATCTGTATTCTGAGCAGATTATATGAGAAATTGAATTCTGTGAAGAAGAATGTGGCATCTGAATCAGAGGAAGACTCATCAATCTGCGATATGCAGGTTGGTTATTGAAAGTGGAGAAGACTTGGAGTGCTTGCTGCAGAAGATGAAAGAATACAACTTTCAATATGGATTGCATCTCATTATCAAGCAAACAAAAATTGTCACCATTGGACCAATAGGCAACATCATATAGATGAAGAAAAGATTGAACTTGTCAACAGTGTCATTGTACTTGGAGCCACAGTCCACACCATTGATGCCAAAAGTCAAGAGGTCAGGAGAGTGAGTGCACTGGGGAAGTTTGCAGTCAGGGACCTCCCCACATTACAGAGGAGCTGTAAAGTCAGTTGGAGGCCTGGGGTGTGCCTGACTCAGGTCATCATCTTGTCAGTCACTTGTTAGGCACCGGAGAGCTGGACTAAGGATGACAGAAGAATTGAAGCTTTTGAGCATTGGTGTTGGAGAATGCTGAATGTCCCGTGGATTGCCAAAAGAACAAACAGGTCTGAGAAAGTATAGTTAGAGTGCTCCTTGGAAGCAGCAAAACTCTGTCTCACATACTTTTGGCATGTTGTTAGAAGAGGCTAACTGGAAGAGAGCCATATTTGTTCCATTATGCTTGGAAAGGTGGGCGGGGGGTTGGTGAAAGAGAGTAAGACCTTCAATTAAATGAATTGACATAGTTAGTGACTCCTCCAGTGGGCTTAACTGGGTCAGACATGATGTGAATGGCATAGGAAAGGACATGGTTCAGATCTGTTTTTATAGAGTCACTGAGTCATAATTGATGACACATAACAACACCACCACCACCACAGAAAGCATTGGTTCTTGTGTCCCCCTTTTTTGCAGCAGTGTTTGCCCAGTGGGATAAAGTAATTCCATATTGAGCATTTCTAATCTACTTCTTTCCTTTACTGTTCATCTATCTCCAGTGATACATGGTGCTTCATCATTTGGCCTTGGTTGATGTAGAAGAGTTTATATAGTTGAGAGGAACAATAAAAATCACTTTGAAAACCAATTTGGAAGCGCTGCATCTAAGTGTAGAGTCACTGTCTTAAGTACAGCATGAGGAAAAGAATGTCCTGACATGAGAATCTCAGCAGGTTCTGTGTATTTCACATTCTAATCAATGTCCATTTCAGGAACAGGTTTGAGGCCTTGAACACTGATGAACGAAGACCAGATGAGTTGTGAGAGGAGGATTTCAAGGGTATCATCCAGGAAGAGTGCAAACAGTCATTGCAAAGACAGAAGAGGAAGAGAAGACCAAAACGGTTGTCAGAAGAGACTCTGAAAATTGCACTGGAGCACAGAGAAGCCAAAGCAGAAGGAAGAATTCAAGATACTAAACAGTTGAATAGAAGATTTCAAAAGGCAGCACGGGATGACAAAGTAAAATATTACAATGAAATGTGCAAGGAGCTGGAGTCAGAAAATCAAAAGGGCTGAACTCGCTCAGCATTTCTTTGTTGTTGTTTTTTATTTTTGTTTTTTTTTCTTTTTTATGTTTGTTTGTTTCTTCTTGCTTATTGGGCATTTCTTAAGGTCAAGAAACTGAAGAAAAAATTGAAACCTCGAATTGCTATAATTAAGGATATTTTAGGCAGAATATTAAATGATCTAGGAAGTATTAAAAGAAGATGGAAAGAATATTCTGAGTCACTGTATCGAAAGGAATTGGCAGACACAGAAGAATTTCATGAAACAACAGATGCGCAAGAGCCTATGGTGATGAAGGAAGAAGTTCAGGCTGCTTTGAAGGAAATAGCAAAAAAATAAGGCCCCAGGAATTCACCAATTGACATATTTCAGCTAACAGATGCTGCCCTGGATGTGCTCACCAAGTTGTGCCAAGAAATCTGGAGAACAACAACTTGGCCAACTGACTGGAAGAGATCTATATTTGTTCCCATCCCAAAGAAGGGTGACCCAACAGAGTGTGGAAACTATAGAACAGTATCATTGATTTCACATGCAAGCAAGATTCTACTGAAGATTATCCAAAAACGACTGGAACAACACATCAGCAGAGAAGTCCAGGCTGGGTTTAGAAGGGGTCGTGGTACT